TTAATTTTCTTTGATAATAAATGAAAATTTTATAATCAAATCTATTGATTTGTGTTCCTTTTTTTATTTCTGCTGTTGTAGAAAGTATCTTCCAAGTCAGAGAAAAGGTAAGTATTTGACACACTTTCTTAGATTTCTGATAGGACTTTTTTACATGTATTCCTTTTATTCCCCTGGAATATAATCCACTAAATTTTCTAACATAAAAACATTTTTCATTGTTTCAATACTTTCCCCATGTGTCCAGGAATTTATAAACATGGAAGCTGAATCAGTGGGGAATATACAACTTTTAATAAATAATGCCATTCATCCTTCTGGAGAGAAAAATAGATGCCTACCTCATGTTATTCCTACAAATGAATTCCACATGGATGTACCTATACTAAGAGCTCAGGTAGTGTAGTGCCTAAGCCATGTGATTGCTAACCAAAAGGCTGGCAGTTCAAACCCACCAGCCACTCTTCGGAAGGAAGGTTGGACAATCTACTTCCGGAGTGATACTGCTTCAGAAACCCAAGGAGGGGTCACTATGAGTCAGATCTGACTTGACGGCAGTGCATTTGGTTTTTTTATTTTTTGTTTTTTGTACCTATACTGGGAAAATATTTTTCTCAAGAAAATATGAACTGTGTAACTCTAGCCCTATGGATAAATTCAAAGCAGGTTATTTATTCTTGGGCAATTTTATAGCCTTGGACAAATATGAAATAAACAGGATTAAGAATCCCTTCACTACAGGGACATAGTATTTATACACTATTGCCTGTTGTATCTTAGATTATAAACCATAGCATGTACTGATAAGACCTTTTTGTTATTCACACTTAGTTTTTGTAAACTTTTTGGTTATGTTTGATTGTCCTTATGGACTATCTACACCCTAAGACAAGATTTTTATTTGGATAAAAAACAACAAAATGCAAAACACTGCCATCGAGTCAGATCCGACTGACAGTGACCCCTCCTTGGATTTCTGAGGCAGTATCACTACGGAAGTAGATCGCCCAATCTTCCTTCCAAGGAGTGGCCTTCTGGTTAACAGTCAAATGCCTTAGACACTATGCCACCAGAGCTCAAGAGGCTCATAACCTGAAATGAGTAAAAGTATAAAATACAGATTTCCAAACATTTGAAATTCCTAGCACAAATAATACTGACTTATATTACATGGAGGCATAATAGAAAGAATAAAAAAGATAATTATAATAGTGATGGAGAGAAAATATAAAACTAAAGCATCAGAGATTCTTTTTTTTTCTTCTCCACAACATCCGAATATGACAGACATGCTCTAACTATTACTTATAATTAGTTGTAAACATTTCACTGAAAAAACAAAATAATCCACTGAGCATATAGCAGGAAACCCTTCAGTGTCTCTTCCAGCCAACTCTGGAGTACAGCTCCTCTCTGCCCCAGCACCTTCTTCGTGGCATCACCTGATGTGGTACTCCCGAAAGCACTTAGCATGGACGCCCTTCTGGCACTTCTCACACCGAGTGTTGGTCTGAGAGTGGCAAAGGGCACAACGGGTCCTCTTGTCCTGGTGAATGATCCAATGGCCAATCATATCAAAGCGGCTCTCAGTTTCCAGCCGCCTGCTTCGCCTTCCTTGGGATGATGTGTCAGCATTGCTTTCCAGATAAACGCAGGCAACATATCGCCGGAAGGCAAGGAGGTCCACCTGGGCATCTTCACAGCAGATCCTGTGCAGCTGCCATGCATTGTTGAGGGCAGCATCAATGATGTAGCCAATGAAGCTTGAGTACCACTTCATGCCCCGGATCTTCACCTTGTACTTGGCGATGTTCTGGTCCATGCGCCCAACACCCCCTACCTTCTCTTGGTACAGCCTCACCAGCAATGGCTGGTGGACCTGGGTCCGCGTCTTGGCAGCCCCTGAACAACGACTCGTGAGCCTCACAGGCTCTATGCCTACCGCATTGGAACAGATGTTGACCATGTTGCTGTCATGCCAGCGGCAAACAATGATCTCCTCACTCTCATCAACCTTGTAATCAAATGAACCCCTCTTCATTTTTTTCAGTTCTCTGGGATCTTTGAGGGGACATCTCTCAGTCCTATACTCACGGACAGTTCCTGTGGCCTTCACCCCCTTTTTCCTCAAAATGGACATTAGTTTGATACTTGTAAAAACCTTGTCAAAAAATATGTGGTATGGCAGACAGCCTCGCTCCTGAAGTGCATTCACAAACTTTATCACCATACTACCTCCTAAATCCAAACCCTTGTCAGGCTTGGTGAACAATGTGCCCTGAGAGGGCTCAAACCACACCAAATAGCCTCTGCTGGTCGTCCCACACCAAATCTTGTAACCAAGCCGGACAGGCTTTCCTGTGCGCAGCTGCTTGGATCCCCGGTGCCCAAAGTACTCACACATGGACTCACCAAAGCTATAAAATTCTTCCAAAGGTGCATGCTTCTGGAAATTGCAGTTCATCCGGACAATGAGAGGCCTGACCTTGGCAAACCTATCACTTTCATCAAGTTCATTGTTATCTGCAAAATGCAAGTAGGAGAAAATCAATTCAAACCTGTCCCTTCTGATTGCATCAGCCACAAGGTGGTGATGTGAATCAGGAGATGTTTCCCAAAACATCCTTCTCCTTGGATAGGAGATATACCCACTTAAAATCAAAATGCCCAAAACACACTTCAATTCCTGGGCTGTGAGACCCAGGTTGACATTTTTCTGCCAAGCATAACGATTGGTTTCATTAACAATGAAATTAATTGTACCTTCATCAAAAAATAATTCAAAGAGTCCTACAGGACTCAGTTCCTGACTTTTGAGATACTCAATATGAGGATCTGATGCTGTCCAACTGCTAAAGTTGGGCTGGAGATCTCTTTTGGTCCAAACACGCTGAGGTTCAACTATGCTCTTCTGCCTCTTCTTTGCTGGCTGCAGCTCCAAGTCTTCATTATCTTCCCCAGTACCAGAATCCTCAGACACCACGGTAGCATGGAGCATGCTCCCTGGCAGGTGAGTTCCATGCCGGCTGTCTTCATCACCTGAGTCCTCATCGGTGAAGTCCCCAGAAGCATTCTCAGGTGGTGAGATGAAAATCTCTTCCTTGTCATTGCTAGTCTCTTCTTCCTCCAGAGCATTCAGAACCTCAAGAAGCTTAACAGACTTTACCTTTGAGCTGGCACCTCTACCAGCAACAACACCTCTGCAACAACAGAAAACAGAATCAGAGAGGTAAAGGCAGCAGTCTCTGCAGCATGCAGGGAAGCCAATTTCTCAGAAAATAAATAATAACAATAAAACACCAGCCAGTAAATTGGGTGTGCTTGCCAGAAAGCATCTTAGCTTGAGCAGCAACCCAGATCTGGCATCACTGGGCACAGGTAGCAGGTAAGGAATTTTGCAGATAAACACAGATTGGTCTTCTAAATGCGGGAATATTTTTATAATGGAGTCATTTTAAAGAGGCATTATATACTTCATTTTCTTTTTAAGGAGTCCCAAGAAATGAAATTGGTTAACACACTTGGCTGCTAACTGAAAGGCTGGTGATTCAAGTCCACACAAAGATGCCTCAGAAGAAAAATCTGGTGATCTACTTCTGAAAAATCAGCCACCAAAAACCCTATGGAGCACAGGTCTACTCTCACACACAGGAGGTATGACATGACATGACTCTGACATGAGTCAGAGTCAACCCAATGGCAACTGGGTACTGTTTTAAGTGGTTTTCTTCTTAAAGTGTTCTAAAAAAATAATAGAAGCCCCTGGGTGATGCAAACAGTTAATCACTGAACTACTAGTTAAAACGCTGGCAGTTCAAGCTCACTCAAAGGCATTTCAGAAGACAGATCTGTCAATCTGCTTCTGAAAGGTCACAGCCTTGGAAACCTTATGGAATAGTTCTACTCGGCACACACAGGGTCACCATGAGTCAGAACTGACTCAATAGCAACTAACCAAAAAGAAAAAACAGATGATCCCCTCTAGTGAAAAACCAAGATTCCACTACCATCACCACATATAACAGTAACTGCCAAAAGGAAGCCCTGGGCACTGGACTGACACTGCATTGTTGTCCTCTCATGCAGTGGCCTAGTAGCTTTGCTTTCTTTCTTTCTTTTTTTTTTTGCTGCCTATATATATACACACACATATATATATATATGTGTGTGTGTGTGTGTGTGTATATACACACACACACATATATAGGGAGCTCTGGTGGCATAGTGCCTAAAGAATTTTACTGCTAACCAGAGACTGAGGATTCAAACCTACCAGCCATTGCTCAGAAGGAAGGTTGGGCACTTTACTTCCGTAGTGATAATGCCTCAGAAACCCAAGGAGAGATCGCTATGAGTCGGATAGGACTTGACAGCAGTGAGTTTGGTTTGGTTTTTTACACGTATATTTTAATTTTTATTGTTATTTGGGTGAAAGTTTACAAAGCAAATTCATTTTCCATACAGCAGTTCAGACACATTTTGTCTCATGACATTGACCGTAATTCCCCACAATGCAACCACTCTTCTCCCATTTCCTTACATAGTAGCTTTGCTTTCTTGCTTCTGTCTTATGTTTCTTTCCTTTCTCTTATACCTTTGACAAGTATGTTTCCTTTCTTTCCCAAGTTCTCAAATTCTATCTGAACTCTCACTACCCAAATTCATGAGCTGAACAGATTCAGATAGATTTTCAAATGGCTCCCCCATGATATCTGATACGTGACTACCTGCTAACTGCAATTCAGAAGCCAAATAAATTTAGAAAATATGGAAACCCCTGCTATTCAAACTCTCACCTTCTGAACATAGGAACCAAATATATGATGAGAAAGACTTGTATTTATAAGCACCCTGCATGAATGGGCAAGCCCCACTCCCAGACTGCACAGCCGTTAGGTCTAATTGGCGATGATAAACAACAGATCAGCAAATAAATAAATATACAGAATGATGTCAGGCAGCAATAAGTGTCATCCTGGATAATGAATGGAGTGCAGGTGATGGTACTATTTCAGACAGTATGAAAGGAGCTCTGGTGGCATAGGGCCTAAGGCATCTGACTGCTAACCAGAAGGCTGGCGACTCAAACCCACCAGGCACTCCTCAGAAGGAATTGGGGCGATCTACTTCCATAGAGATATCACCTCAGAAACCCAGGGAGGGGTCACTATGAGTCGAATCGACTCAATGGCAGTGATCTTGGTTTGGTTTGGTCTAGTCAGGGAAGGCCTCACTGGGAAGATGAGCTGATAGAACTGAGCCCTGAAGATGGCTGAAGCTAGCATGTTCCAGGCAGAGTTCCAGGCACAGACCTCTGGGATTGTGGGTCTTGAAAGCTAGAGAAAAGCCAGGAGGCCAGCAAGGCTGCAGACACACACAGGCATGACAGTGAGGGGAGGTACTCCAAGCAAAGGTACAAAACACCAGAGCTCATGGACAGATATATATGAGCATGGCCATGAGATGGTCAGACCCAGTTTGTAAACAGGTCAGTTTGCACTCTGCTATGAACACTATGGTTGCTGCCTTGTGCCCACCACTGGACCCCAACCTCTATGAGAAAAGTCCTTCCTGTCCAGAGGAAGGATGCAGGTTTATGACAACTATATTACTGCAGACCCTGCCCAGAGACTTTGAAATTGAAGTGACATTACAGATCCATTCAAACATCACATGCTGGGTGCTGTGGTTCAGGAGGGTTAACGTCCAGGCACATTAGGTATTCATAAAACTCTTCATGGGCCAACAAGGTAAACCAGCCTGTAAGGGAGTTAAAACCAGAAATGCTTCCTACTGTTCACCTCGGAAAAAGATAGTGTTCTTGAAAGACAGGAACAGGCACTAGCCATCTTCCCTTCACACTCCATCACCAGTCTCATCCAGTACAGATATGCCTCCTGACCCAGGGTCTCTGCCAGTCTTACCAGCCCACAGACCTTACAAACACTTTCTGCACGTGACTGGCTATTCAAATATTGGGCATGGAAAAGCCTGTAGGGACTAAGGAAACCCCAAAGGCAATCATCTGGGTTTTTAAAAAATGAAAAGTAAATTGTATTTCTTAGATCAAGGGTAGACACTGTTGTTTCACAGCCACTCCCGCACCAAATACACCTCTCGTCTGCCTCAACTTTTCTCCCTTCTCCCTTTTTCTATTCTCTCTCTTCTATCTACACTTCCTGGACAATGACTGCTCAGTGAGATCAGCCAGATTCAGAGCTAAAAATGTCATCAACTTGGCCTTTTAAAAACACAGACGAATAAATACTTTCAGAAAGTATTCAGAGAACTGCAGTCCTACCTTGAGGCTGAAGCCATGATGAACTGGGAAGAATAAGTTGTCTTTACTCACAGTCTAAGAATCTGGAAGATAATGAAAGCCAATTTTAAAAGTTCCTATCTTAATAAGCAAGGGAATAGTGTCTTTTTACAATTTAAGAAAAAAAAAAAACTTAAGGCCCCTTATTTCACATATTATTTATTTAACAACATTAACTTCATATGTTTTTGAGAGCCTGGAAACGACCTACAGGAGCTTGGTAGGTTAGAAGTAGCAATGTCAGTCAGAGGGAAATGGATAGAATATCTCAGGAAATATTGCCTGGTCAACTGGCTAGCCAGAGTGGAAAAGAGAGAGTGCCTCCATCTTACACCTCACACCAAAATATATTCTAGAGCAGAATTTCTCATCTTGAGAACTATTGACAGTTGGGACTAGAGAATTTTTTGTTATGTGGGAGAGTAAGGGGGTGGGTGAAGGATGCCCTGTGTATTGTAGAAAGATGAGCAGCATCCCCGGGGTCTACCCACCAGATGCCAGTAGTACCCCTTCCCCAGCTGTGACAACCCAAAATGTCTAGATATTTCCAGATGTCCCCAAGGGACAACTTTTCCACTCTACTCAGCATCTCTGCCCTAGAGGAATTATTGTGTGCATGTACCAAGAAACATGAAGAAGAATGCTCACCACAGCACTGTTTATTTACAACAGCAAAAAGGAAAAAAAAAAAAACTAGAAACAACTCAAGTAGTCATTAAGGAAAGAGTGGATGAGAACTTGCACAGATGAACCTCAAAAAGACACTGAGCCAACAAAGAAGTCACAGAATACTTGCCATATGATTTCATTTTATAAAGACCAAAAAGTTAAGTGAAACTAAACTAAAATTTATTCTCTGGAAATATATACATGCACATGGTAAAACTATAAAAAGAAAGGAAATGACTAAGACAAACTTACAGACAGTGGTTACCTATGAAGATAAAAGACTCAATTGGGACAGATACACAGGGGGCTTCTAAGGTTTTGATAAGGTTCTAGTTTTTAACTAGGTGGAATATGCAAAGTTGTTTCATTATTCTTCAAATTGTGTCTACGTGGGCTGTTAGTATGATTTGTTGCAATGGGTTCATTTTCCTCCATGGCCTAACCCTTCACTATCATGCCTATTGTGAAACTGAAACAGATAAAGCAAAGCAGAGTTAGAACATAAACAGAAGAGAATCCAGGGTCACACCAACTGGACTCTGGCTCCATGATACCAAGATAATGTAGGAATCATCAGCATTGTTGGCCATAACTCATGACCCCACAGAAGCTAGAGATTCCAATGTAAGGATATGTTGATTTTTAATTCCATGAACCCTTCTGTGAGACATCTTGCCACAATGGGGGAATTCAAAGGAACTGAGCTGTATTTTGTTCACTTCACCCAGATTCCAATCAAAAAAAAGATTCATATCAAGTAATCATATTCTTAAAGATGCCAGAAACATATCTGGACTGTGAAAGATAATTACTTACCTTTTTTTTTTTTTTAATTGTGATTTGGGTGAAAATTTACAGAGCAAATTCACTTTCCATACAGTTCACATACACTTTGTCTCATGACATTGACCACAATTTACCACAATGCAACAGCTCCCCTCCCACTTCCTCCTGACAGTTACCTCTTCCCTGTGTCCATCCCTACATGCACTCCTGCCCCCTGCTGTCTCCCTGTGCATAATCAGCCCTTCTTTCTCCCATGATTGTTCTCTCCAAGGAGCGTTATCTACCCCAGGCAAATGTTCAACTTATATGCCTGTCTTTTGTTTGGCTGGAAGCCACAGGTGTGGGTTCAATTCCAGACCTGAAGGGCAGCTAGGGGGCCATAGTTTCAGTGATTCCACCAGGCTCTATCGGACCGGCAAACCTGCCCTCCCCCCTTTTTTTTCTCCAAATGACTTTGTTCCACATTGTTCTCCCTCTCTATCCAAGATCCCCTTCCAAGTGGTTAACAGTGGTAGCGAGGCACCATCTATTTCTTCTGGTCTCATAGTCATATAGGCTGCAGATTGCATGGTGTACCAGATGCTAGCACTAATTGTTTCCATGAATTTTTGGTTTTCTTCATTCTTCTTTGCCCTGGATGAGGAGAGACCCATTACTGCATCTAGATGGCAGCTTGCAAGCTTTTAAGATCCTAGTCACTACTCACCAAAGTAGGAGGTGGAACAATGTTTTGTGTAGTATGTTATGCCAATTGAGCTTGATGTCCCCTGCAACTATGGTCCCAAGCCCACAAGTTCAACTACTCGGTCCCTCTGGGTAGCTGGCTGTGACTAAAACCTTGCCCCTTGTCAGCTCTACTATACACCTGGGAATTCAGACCACACACATAAACTTATAGGACCATTGTCTCCCAACCCTATACATGTTCTTGGGTACACTCCCTGCTTCATAGACATACATAATAGTTCAGCCTGTCCACCCATCTATCCACCTGTACACCCATGTTTGCCTTCACTGACAGTGTAATACTGTATGTGCAAAAGGGTTCATCTTTGTTGTCTGTACCTCCCATGTACCTCTCTACGTCTTTCTCATCCTCAAGGCTGCCATATTGATCACTCACATTTGCCTTCTCTTCACCCAAATCAATACTTATCTCTATCTGTCTAACTGCGTTCCCTCCCCTCCCCTCCCACCCCTGGTAATCAACAAAGAACATTTCCTTCCATATAGAAACCTTTCCTTGACTTTTACAATAACAGACTAATACAATATTCGTCCTTTTGTGATTGACTTATTTCACTTAGCATAATATCTTCCAATTTTATCCACGTTATGTGGTGTTTTGCAGATTCTACATTATTCTTTAGCATTGCATAGTATTCCATTGTGTGTATGTACCATAGTTTGGTTATCCATTCCTCCGCTGATGGACACCTAGGTTGTTTCCATCTTTTGGCTATTGTAAATAGTGCTGCAATGCACATGGGTATGCATATGTCTGTTCTTGTCAAGGCTCTCACTTCTTTAGAATATATACCTAATAATGGAATGGCTGAATCAAATGGTATTTCTATTTCCAACTTTTTAAGGAATCACCATACTGCTTTCCACAGTGGTTGTACCATTTTACAGTCCCACCAGCAGTGTAGGAGAGTCCCAATCTCTCCACATCCTTGCCAGCATTTGTTATTTTCTGTCTTGTTGAACTTTGCTACTAGTGCTGGAGCAAGATAGTATCTCATTGTTGTTTTAATTGCATCTCTCTAATAGCTAATGATCGTGAGCAATTCTTGATATGTTTGTTGGCTGCTTGAATATCCTCCTTGGTGAAGTGTCTATTCATGTCTTCTGCCTTTTTTTAATTGGGTTATTTCTCTTTTTGTTATTGAGATATTGGAGTTTTTTATAAATTCTAGAGGTAAGTCCCTTGTCAGATATGTCATTACCAAATATTATTTCCTAATCTGTAGGTTCTCTTTTGACTCTTTTGGAGAAGTCTTGGGAAGCACATAAAAATTTAATTTTCAGAAGATCCCAATCATCTGGTTTCTCTTTCGCTGTTTGTGCATTTTGAGTTATGCTTGATAGTCTATTTATGCCATACATTAGGGCCCCTAAGTTTGCCCCATAGATTGTCAAAGATAATTACTTGAAGTATGCAAGAAAGGAATAAAATTGAAGGGTGTTTTTCTTAAAGAATAGCATTTGACAGATTTATCTCATCAATAACTTGAAGATTTATAGAAGTTTGAGGCGATGGGCTCAGGTATTGCAGCAGGTGTGAGGGTAGCAGAGGGCCAGGCAATGTTTCATGCTGTTGTGCATGAGGTTGGTGTGGGTCAGAGCTGACATAATGGCACCTAACAACAACAGTCCTTGCATGGTTCAAGCACACATAAATACAGTTAACACAATTTAGCTAAATAACACCAGTCTCCCAACAACAGAGATAAAATTTCAATTACCAGAGTATTAATTGGATAGATACATAAAGGACAAACTTTGCTAGCTCTTTAGTCCACAGATCATTTGCAAATAACGGATGTACATTATGATCCATGACCAACCCTCTTACTTTTATCAAAGTCTGTTGGCATCTGTTATTCAGTTCAGGTACAAGTAGCATGGTGTGTAGTGGTGTTGTCTGCTTCTCTCCCGGTGATAGACCCATGTGCCATTTTATAAAAATGGGCAGCCAAAGATAACAGAGCAACAAAGGAAAAAAAAAATGTTAACACTGAAAATCTGATGTGATTAATTTCAAAAATGGCAGAAGCAAAGGTAAGACCGACCTAGCAGCCTTCATGAAGCTATAGTATGAAGCATCTTGAAAAAAATCTGATGAATATAAAAAACAAGGTAAAGTCACTTGAACATATTTTATTTTAAATTGCATCCAGTACAGAAAGCAACTTATGGTTGAAATTTACCATTCACTTATATATGGATAGAAGACTGTAATCAAAAACATATCCTAATCAGTTTGGCTAGCATTTGGGCCCAAGCATTGAAGTTAGTTGCTGCACTGAAAGAAAACAGTAATTTCAAGGAGACTGAAAAAGAACATTTTGCTTCAAGTCAAGGCTGGTTTCATCATTTCAGAAGTCAGCATGAATTAATTTACATTAAGCTATCTGGTGAAACTGCTAGCTCAGTTATCAATACTGCTGGAAAATCCACATCTAGATTACAAGGATTACAGGCAGTTATTCTTTTGCACGATAGTGCAGGATTATACTGTGCCCAAAACTTTGCAGAATCCAAATAGAATGCAAATGGGCTTACAGAGGACACAGATGATCATGGGAATGTTGACACCACCATTGTTCCAGAGACTCAAGATATGCAGCCAGAGGAATTGAGTGAAGGCAAACTTAAGAACATAGATGAGGAAAGGGGTTCTGATGAAAATGATAAAGATGTCTCAAAGGAACTGATATGGCAAAAAAAACATCAAGGTAAAGGAGCTCTCAGAGATATTCCTAACATTGACAGTACAAAGGACAAAATTTTGGAAGCTAGTCCAAACTTAAAAAGGAGT